AGTTGTCTAACAATAGAATTTTGCTACTGGCTCAGCAAATTATTACATTCTGATGTTCACACATCAGAAAGCAGAGGTAGTGAAGCTAACAGAGAATCTGTAGGCTTAATAGGCCAGCCCTTCAGTTATTCTGAGCAAAATGGTTTTGGATTTTAGTTTTTGTATCCTTTTTCTAAAAAGGCAAAACCTTTGTCTAAAGTGATGAATATTTTATCAGCTAAAATTATTATTCTTCATAATGTTCAGCATTCTTTGAAAATAAGGATTTAATATGTAACCAATTAGTAAAAAAAAATTAAGACAATTATCAAACACACTTTTTTGTAATTAAATGTTAATTAAAACTAGCGTTATTTTTTTAAAACAAAAATTAATAGTGGAGAAAACAAATTAGAGCGAGATAGTCAGTTTAACCTAATTTAGCAATCTATTAATAAAAAATAGATCTAGCTTCTTAAATGTGTATTTATTGTAACTGATAATTTAATTTTCAAAGATGTGGAGCACAGCAAAATCTTTGACACTTTTAGGGATTGTGCTGCACAAAGAATGAACACAAAGATGATACAAAGTCACACTATTAATTAAAATTTCATTTCATGTTGAAGATCTTATTTAGAGAGACCCTAATCATATAAAGATGCATCATGAATATAAGATTAAGAATAGTAAAGAATTTTGTTCAGTTTTTTGTTTTAAATAAAATCACACTGTCTCCTCTTCTGATTGTACAATATTGGATATCTGAGAAAGTGAAACTAATCAGTTTAACTAATCAACTTAAAAGTTTGAAAGTTGATTGCTTGTATTTACAGCTGTCTTTCTGGTGTTTAATTGCAGTTGCCACCTTTGCACATTTCTCAAATTTAACAGCTTCATAACAAGCTTGTACTTAATGGTCCTCTTCAAGTTGGAAATACCTGTATGTACTGAATTGGATCAGTTGAATTGAGGGGAAAGACTGAATCCTGGTTGAGAACATTGAAGGCCACGTCGTCAATTGAGTAAGCAACAAAAACTTGCAGATTTTAACAACAACAACAACGCTCCTATCCCAAAATTGCTTCTTAAATATAAAGCATTTTCTCTTTTATTCTAAAGGATGCAGATATCTGGACACTAATATTACTATGGATTCTTTATTAAAAAATGACAACATGGTGCCCAAAAATGAAGGAAGGAAGGAAGGAAGGAAGGAAGGAAGGAAGGAAGGAAGGAAGGAAGGAAGGAAGGAAGGAAGGAAGGAAGGAAGGAAGGAAGGAAGGATAGACTCTGTGCGAGTACATATTGGTTCAATCAAAATTCAATCATCTGGTTGCTACATCTGCTCACATGACTGGAGTCCACAAATCTGGAACCAATAAGAAGTAGATAGAAGATAGATTTCTGCTTTTGTTATGTCAGTAGTTCCTGTATATAAAAACATTTAATAAATTCATTTGGGAGAAGTCCATTTTGCAATATCTTAAAACTTAGAGAACTAGGTCCTCACAGTAGAAAACTACAGGTTCCAAAAATGGTAACATTCAGACTTTTGTAAAATTTATTTATTTATTTGCTAGATTTATAAGGCCGCCTGACTCAAGCAATGCGACTCTGGGTGTGATATGCAGCAACAAAAAATAATGAGTAAATTAACACTCTCCCCAGATAATGTAGGTCAATATAAAATTCAAAATATAAAATGGCAACCAAACATCTGTGATGTGGTGTAGTAGCCTGGATTCACAGGAGGGAGTAGATGGATTCCAGAGGAATAAGAGATGATTCAGATATTCTGTATGAGAGAGAGTGCAGACAGCCCCTCCCTAATAGTTCTCAGAGTATATGGTAGTTGCAGATAGTAGAGTGCTTAATCTGGCAATAGTCTGTCTAAAGGTGTGCAAACAATACAGAACTCAGGGAGGGTCCTTGCTGCTCTCTGAGCTTGGTTGTTTTCTTGCAGATGTTTCATTACCAAACTAGGTAATTCCATCAGTAATGCTGAGTAGTTATATCATAAAGAACTCAGCTTGAAAGAATCACCTTGGGTCATTCTTGGGGTTTTTTGGGGACTGAAAGCACCATAACAAAACAACCCCCAAAAGGAACTCCATTCAACTGGCCCTTAATGCCTGCGAATCAAGACAAGTCTTTCCTAAATGCAATCAGTGTTAGGGCCTGTAACATATCATGGTGGTGGAGAGGGGAGGAGAGAATGTTCCTGATAACAGGGGCAACCACAGAAAAGATATCCTATAAGATGACAAGAAGCCACCTGGAGGAGGCCCTCATTGTAGGAGCATGTGTGTGAGCAGATGTTTTTGGGAGAAGGTGATCCCTCAAATAGTCTAGCATATATATATATGTGGGCTGTGTGCTCTCTCCACTTCTCTCTATATACCAATGACTGCATCTCAAACTCTGTTAAAGTACTGAAGTTTGCAGATGATACAACAGTGATTGGCCTCATTTGAGACAACAACGAATCAGCATACAGACGAGAGGTTGAACAACTAGCCTTGTGGTGTGGTCGGAACAATCTTGAACTGAACACACTCAAAACTGTAGAAATGACAGTAGACTTTAGGAGAAACTTTACTGTTCTACAACCTCTTACAATACTGGACAACACAGTATCAACAGTAGAGACCTTCAAGTTTCTGGGTTCTATAGTATCTCAAGATTTAAAATGGACACCTAACATCAAAAATGTCATCAAAAAAGCACAACAAAGAATGTTCTTCCTGCACCAACTCTGAAAGCTCAGACTGCCCAAGGAGCTGCTGATACAGTTCTACAAAGGAATTATTGAGTCTGTCATTTGCACCTCTATAACTGTCTGGTTTGGCACTGCAACCAAACAAGATAGACACAGACTTCAACAAATTGTTAGAGCTAGAGAAAAAACAATTGCTACCAATCTGCCTTCCACTGAGGACCTATATATTGCATGAGCAAGCAAGAGGGCTGTGAAAATATCTACAGATCCATCACATCCTGGACATAAACTATTTCGGCTTCTTCCCTCAAGACGACGCTACAGGGCATTGCACACCAGAACGACTAGACATAAGGACAGTTTTTTTCCCCATGCCGTCACTCTTCTTAACAACTAATTCCTACAACACTATCAAAATACTAGTAGCTGTATTACTATAATACTCTTCATTTTTCCTATTACCTATCCTTATCTTCTTATGACTATAACTTGCTGCTTGTATCTTACAGTTTATATTGTGGTTTGTTTTTGTTTTGTTTTTCTTTTTTTGTACCCTAGTATGATTTATGTTGTTTGTTTAGCTAGTAATGTATGACTATCACTAGTGTTGTATCTTATGATTTATGATGAAGTGTTGTATTTCATGATTTATGATGAATGTATTTTCACGTTGTATATGATCATGATTACCACTGTTACTTGTATGTACACTGAGAGCTTATGCACCGGAAACAAATTTCTTGTATGTCCAACTACACTTGTCCAATAAAGAATTCTATTCTATTCTATTCTATTCTATTCTATTCTATTCTATTCTATTCTATATAGGCTATATAAATAATATACTGAGATATACGTACTAAGAATTGGGGCAATTAGTGAGCTTATCAAACACCAAACACTCATCCACGTTACTGAGGGTAGCAAATGGATGCTATAAAGAATCAAAAGGCCGAGTTAGCATTGTGAGGGATCCAACTGAGTTGGAGAAACATTTTGTTCAGACACTACATATATTTGGAGACCTGGAATTAATAATATTAGGAAACCTTTCTGATGAAATGTCCTTCATTCCTTTCTTACCATTTGGCTTTTGAACTCACTTCATGTTGAGCAACTAAAAGAGCTCTCTTTAGTTGTGTGTCATTTGCACAATGGCTGATATAAATGAGATTCATCTGCTTCTCCCCAATTTATCTAAATGTGAAGGGGCAGATGGTTTCTCTATTCCAGAGCTTAATAAAAAGACTTTAGTCTCTGGAGCCATCAATACGCTTCCTCTTACCAGTGTAATATTCAGGCCAAATTCTATTTCAAGACAATTATTTGTATTTTACAGTGTTTTCAGATTCTCAATGTTATATCAACCAAACTTCTGTATTAAATATCTTTTCTGTTCTTGTACTTAATATTAGTTTATCCCTGCCAGGAACAAACAGACAAGCAACAATATTTATTACAAGGCATTTTGCCTGATAAATTTTATTTTGTACAGAGATGTGAAATTAGGCCTGTTTTCAATATTCTCTACTGGCCATAAGACAATATGCTGTGTTTAAAAAAAAATATTGTGCTTTGTTCCAGCTTTGACGTGACTAAGCTATTTCAGAATTGTAGCCTGAGCAGCATTGGACTGTGAACCTGGAACCGATCATCTGAGTTGAATGAGGAAAGCTACATTCCCACAAGGGCCCTTTGTGAACTAGTCACTCAAGTAGAAATGTCCTCACCACCCAAAGTTCATGTCATTTTAAACTAGGTATTAATATCCAGAAGATGAGGCTTCATTAGTTGCAATAGCTCTTGACCATTTTCAAGGCCAACTGAAAACAATGGCTTTGACTTTTGATGTCACTGGGTCATGGTACTCAGAGGGCTGGTTCTTTCACCTTTGATGAATATTGAGATAGGCTACCAATAGAAGAGAAGATTTGTGATTCAGGGTTAAATTGTGGAGTCCTTGGTGATCTCTGAGCTTGATTATTTTCTTACAGATGTTTCATTACCCAACAGGTAACTAGTACCTGTGAATGTTGAGTATGCTCCCTGTTTAGCTTGCCTTTCTAGCTTTGGTGGGACTGTGGTTTTCTCCTTGGCAGTTTCTTGATTAGAGTATTGTTTACTGTTTTTGTCTGGTGTTAATTGTTGCTTGTCTAAGTGTTGGCTGCTAGAGAAGATGTATTCTGATTTTTTTTTTGTTTCCTTCTTAGTGAAATGAAACATCTTCAAGAAATCAACCAAGTTTAGACAGCATCAAAGACTCCACCGAGATATGTCTTACAGATATGCCTCTTTTTCTAGGTTCGTCTGATATCTAAGGGACATCCAGAGCCACCAGAAAAGGAACTTTCCAGTAGTGGTTCCCCAGCTGGAAACAGTTTCTCCCTTATCAGATAACGAGATTGTCATTGCTTCTCCACCAGGTAAAGATCCTTTCTAATACCTTTTAATTTATTGAAACAATTTACCTTGTATAATGGCATGGTACTTTTCTTCTTTTGCTTTGCTGCTTTTGATGAAATGTGTTTTGTATTTTATTTGTTCTGTTGTTATGGACCTTGAGGGGAGGATAGAAAGGTAGGATCTAAACCGCTTCATACATTTATAAACCATAATATTTTGAATGCTTTATTGACCTTATAGCCAAATTAAACACCATGTAGCATGAAAGCATTTGTGCGTGTATGAAATTTCAAGAATATAAGGTAAAAATGCAGTCCTTGCTGCAAGTGGAGGACACGGTAAAGGAAGAGTTACTTCCATATGCCCATACCTGATTAAAATCAAAATCTGTCTCTGTCTAAAAGGAGTTTTGAAAGAAAAGTCATCACTGAGACCAAGTTTTCCAAATCTCTACTTTATGTGCACTCTTTAAATCTAAGCTTTCATTGACTGCCAGTGCTATATGGGCTTGGAATATAAGGCAGATTATTTGGGGAGAAAATTGGCATATTTTTTTTATCTTTTTTCAATGTGACTTCGGGGACAAGAAGTTACCAGTTTTATAGAACCAGGTTTTTTTTTTTCCTTTTCCTTGAAAACCATGGCTTTATCACGTTTTCTGGCATGACTACACTTATCCTGTTATTTATCTGCCCACTTCTTTCCTTCCATTTCTTTGTTCAAGAATGTTTCAGAATTGTGTAAATAGTTTCGAATTGCATAGTCTTATGTGCCAGATATACTCAATCATACTCTATTGATATGCATAGAGTTGATTCAGTAGTCCTTTTTGTTCAAGGGACTGAAAGACAGGTATAGCTTGTACAGAGTAGTGAGGAAAGGGAAATATAAATTAGGCCGGAAGAGATCTCTGTTAATTGGAAAGATGGGAAAAGATGCATAGAATATATCCATGCCATTAACACATTAGATCAGTGTTGTTTGTCAGCTGACCTGCTGATTCTTCCAGTTCTTGCCAGCCATGAATATAACCTGGATATTCCAAGAATCAAAGCTGTCATTTATTGTCTCCTGTTGTAAGAATCCTCATAGGTGCACATGAAATCCTCTCTCCCATCTCCCCCTCATTTTTTTAAAATCATTTTTTATTGTTTTGGGTTCTTAGTTTTATGAGCAGCAGAGGAGAGAAATGCAAACAGAAAGCTATTAAATTATCCATATCTTCACCAAAGTGTATAAGCTTGACGGCTATATTTCCAATGGAAAGTTTTAATTGTTCTGCAGTAGGATTTTTATAGAGGAGCTATCAATGCAGGCAGAAGTTAAAGTATTAGCAGGGGAGAGGAGGAGGAGGAGGAGGAGGAGGAGGAGGAGGAGGAGGAGGAGGAGGAGGAGGAGGAGGAGGAGGAGGAGGAGATGATCAATGTGAGCCTGAAGAGCTTTCACAAGACTCCTTCATTTACATGACTTGCTTTCATTTTACCTTTCAGACACATCTGGGTGGGCTTTTTTCTTCTTCCTTCCCAGCAATTCCAAGTTCCTGCCCCCTCTTCCTCTGCTGCAGGTATTTTTAAATGCTGGTCATCCTGTGGTAAGAATTTGCAGGTGCTTGTCTGAGAACTTTTTCCCCTCTAGCTGGCTGTGGAAAGGACAATGCAATTAATAACAGATGGTATGGAATGACCATGTCCTTGAGAGAATGCCTTATTGGCACCTACTGCTAATTGTAGCACATAGAACACAACTAAAAGCATAATAAATCTGAACTGAGGGACATTTTATGCAAGTGCTTGCCTCCTTTTCCAGACGGTAAATTGCTCAGCTCTTGAAATATCTATAACCTTGTGACACCCAACTTGCATTAGCTTAATTGCCTTTTTTTTCTTCCTTGTGCGTGTGCGGTCTCTCTGTGCCTCCCATTTCCTAGCTCTCTTTCCTCTTGCTTTCAAAGAGCATTCTTCTACGACAGTCCTGCCCACCTCCCCAGAAGTAGCCCCCACTAACCTCAGTGGGGCCAACCCTCAGACAAGGATCTCCTCTCTGTTTCACCAACAGAAGAAAAGATGCCGCAGGAGCTGGGGGCTGTGGCTGCGGTGAAGCAAGGGCTTGTCTGCAGCCCTAATGGAAAATTGGCTTTTTAAAAATGAAGATTCTCCCCCCCCTCCATCACCCCAGGAGTCTTCCTGTATGAGAGGAAAGGGAAGGGAGGAAATGATGAACTGCTGATTGGATTGAGTACACTATTGGTACAACAGTTTCCTCATGGGCGCCTCGTCCTTATTTGCAAATGCCACTTCTGGCAACCAAGTCAAGGGGTCTGGGCATGTGCTTAAAAGCTCCCACACCAACAATGTGATTTCTCTCCAAACCAGAAACTGCTCTGGAACTGCTGAGATTGGCTTGTTACCATCTGGCAATTAGGCTGGGTATTTCCCCCTCACTTGAGAAATTTGGTAGAGATCTTTGGACATTTGCCAGTGTACTTTCCAGCATATATTAGATATGCAAAAATAATCCTGGCTTTATCATTTCTCCCTGTCAAGCCCAGAGCCTCAGCCTCAGGGCGCAATCAAGAAAACAAGAACCACGCAGCCGTCAATAATGCAAGAACTGGGGAGCAAAAGCTGAGTCTTGGAAATTGCCATAGGAACCTCCACCCTTCCTTTATTAGCAAGTTCATTAAATTTCCTTGAACATTTCAGATCTCTTTGTCCTGGGCTTTTCGTGGCTGGACTGAGTTGCTATTCCTGAGATAAGCTCTATATGAACTTCTCTCTCTTCTTGGTTAGTTATGTCTAGTTTTCCTCCAATAACTTTCACAGCCTCCTGTGGTGTCTCAAATTCAACTGTCAATAGTTCAAATTCATCTTGGAAGAAAGGAACCAGGGATGAACATCTTAATACTCTGAGCATCAAGTGTATTCTCTCTTTCTGGGTAGTCTTCAGAGCTCTTACCATTTTGAAGTAAGAAGCCAGCAAAGCTATATCATAAGCTATACATTTAATGCTATTTTAAAAAGTTTAAAAATCTAAAATAATTTCTGCTTATGTTAATGTGCCAACTCTTCAACCTTTAAATATTATATGGCCCACTCATGTTCTTCTAAAATGGAAGCCAGTATTCACCTCCTGTCATCAGACAGCTATATGGCAATTTTTCCCCAGATCCAAAGACTGCAAAACATTTCATTTTTTCCCTGAATTAAAGTTGGAAGCACATTTCATTCTTAACAACTGCAGATCTTAGTCTTTGAATAGAGAGATTGAATATATGAAATTTTAGCTCCTGTTCAGATGCCAAATGCCTGAATTTTGAACATGGATTGCTGTGATGATTGTAAGGGCAAGGACTGCTTGTAAGTCACATTTTTCAGCACTGTAAAAACTATGAATGGTTGTCAAATAAATAATCATAAGTTGAGGACTATCCATATGAGGGTTTTAGTCCAATAGCATTTGTGTAATTCAGAATATTAACCCACTTAAGAGAAAATGCTTTTCTTTCTGAATTTAACTTAGAGTCAATGGTTTTTTATGATTCTTATTGCTCTTTCATGCCAGGACTTGATTTATTGAAATGGATCTAAAAGCATCCTTTGATGAAACATCAACACCCCTTTTACTAAAAGAAAAACCCATAGTGACTGGGAATCATTCAGAATTATTTCTCATGAATGAAGGTGAATATGCATGTCCCAGGATAATGTTGCAAGATCCAATCTGGCTCTGTCACCGGGACTAGGGGTTTTGTCTTCCAAACTTTTGGACTTCTGCTGGAGCCCATCTTCAGGGAACTTCTCTGTGTGCTTTGGACCAAAGTGATTGAAGCCTGGGAAATCATCAATCAACAGGAGTACTGATTTACCCCCAGCTTATCAAGTACTTAGGAGGTGAGGGCTTGGCAGCACAAGGAAACAACCGGCAATGAGTTAATGGCCTGCCATCAACTCCCCAATCTGCATCTAAAAAGCTACACACATCAGCACCCTATAAACACCACACACAGAACAGCCAAAAGCACACAGAGAAGTTCCCTGGGAGGATGGGCTCCAAGCATGAATCTGAAAGCTCTGAAGACAAAACCTTTGGTCCCAATGACTGACCCAGATTGGATATCTTCAGGCTTATTTCTTCTGCAGTCAGAGAACATGAGTTCTAAAACCCAATCAGAAATGGATATGAATGGATATCTCAAAACTTTCCCTTAAATGAGAAAATAAGTGTTCCTCGTTTATATCAGACTGTGCACCACAATGTATTGGAAATTTGTTGGAATTCATTTGGCTTGTGCCAGTAATGGAGGCGAAGAATAAATAACCCATGCCCTCCAACTCACAAGTCCCAGAAACTTTCACCATTGGTCATGGGGTCTGGAGTTATTGGGTGTTGAAATTAAGCACTGTCTGAGGTGCCACTTGTTTTCTATTTCTAATACAGTTCATTGTGGCTGGCTCTTTTCCTAAAGTGTCCCCATCCATGCAACTTTTTAAATGTATTTGTTATCACAGAATGACTCAGTGTCTCTCACATAATAGGAGATCTTATCCTATGAGATGAATTCATTCTTTTTTTATTAGGTGACATACGGAGTGCTGATTATAGTCACTCTCCTGTAATAACAAAAACTGTACAATAAACAGTAATCCACTTCTTTGAAACATTTGTCTCACTGGATAGATTACGCCATCTGATTCTGAATATCGAACTATTCATTATCCACATCAATGCGGTTTCATCCCAGTTCATACATGGAATTAGGGAACTAATCTTAAGTTCCCTAAGAAGCTACTGGGTTACTGTATTATTGTCACGTGACTATATGAGCAAATGGTGAAAGTTTATAACATGAATTTAAAGTCTTGATTTTGTAAATTTACTGTGCTGAGGAAATTGGTTTTCTGAGCACTTAAACAGAACTAAAGGAAAGACTTATGTACTTTGGCTAGAAGAAAGCAAACTCCACACAATTACAAGATTTTCTTTCTGACGATGATTCTCTAGAATCTTCTAGCCTATTGGA